TTTAGTGAGAAATTCATCCATACATTTGGCTAAATGGTGTTTTGGCATTATAGTTGATGTCAGTTCGTGATGAAAAGCCTAAATTTAATTTTTAAACCTAACCATCAACTGTAAATAAGAATTCTAACTGCTTTATAACTCTCATTTTGTCCTGATCATTAGGTGTCCACCCTTAGGGTCACTTCAGCATCGCTCAAAAGTCGTCCATAAATTATAGTCTCACAAATAACGGAATTCAATAAGTCAAGTGCGAGAATGGATTTCTGAATGAGTATATTTTGTACACTCACTTATCTAGACAGAAAATCAGAGAGATGAGGCGAATAGAAGAGAGCGGAGGGAAATGGAGCGCAGTGGAGAACGAATGTGAGCCAACTCCATTTAACCGAGCGTCAATCAATATTTATAGTCACACAAAATAAACTACAGACATGTGGTGAGTAGGATAAGATGTACACACACATACGCTCATATAAAAACAGTCAAGATTGATAAGCGAATAATTAACGTGGTCAAAATATGACTCAAGAAAAATGAATAGATTGGCCTGTCCAGAAGCTAGAATAAGTGATATGGGCTTAACATAACAACCGACACTACAATTCAACGGAAAATTTTGATAATCGTATACGAATCCTGTGAGAATTGACGTGATACAACTATGTTGTAAATTCAGTTGACAATTGTCCAATAGGACGGAGTATCCAACCTGGATTTCATCGATAGCTACAAATCAAGAAATCTTAAAAATGATTACATTTAGATAGCTCTGTCAGGTAGCGTATCTTCCAATAAAGACTGATAAGAGTTCAGTACAAAATCTCAACAATGAGATAATACGAAACCATTTCTAATATTATAAAATATGATACTTGTTGAACAAGTTAGTGGTTATTTAGACTTAGTAGATCAATAAATAACGAATCGGGATTTGAAGCGAAAGGTACTGTGTTCAAGTATTAGTGTGAAATTCTTATTTACAAAATGTAGAAAGGATAGTAATATGAACTGATTTTATTAACTTAAAGCTTTTCATTTTAATGTCTAGTATGATTGTCCATTATAAGTAATAGTGCATAAACATGATCTGGAAATTAATATGCACATTACCAAGACTGATTAATACTAACCCCCACCATTTAAGGAATGACTGTGTTTAAAGTATGATTTTTTATATGGTATGCTATGTGGTCAGTCATCTCAAGTATATTATTGCATGCCTCTTGAGTCACAATGGGAAATATATCTTCTCACTATCTGTGTCTTCTGATTCCTTATTGGGTTAGAAGAACCTCGAGTACTAATAAGTGATACGTGTTGGATATGGTTCATTGGTTGATGTGTTATTTCGTTAAATCGAAGGCTACTACTCCTACTGGCCATATAGTGAATTAATCGATAATCGGACTCCTAATTGGTCAATCAGTATCCCAAGTAACAACAAATAAGCAATAACAAGAGAACAATTAAACAGGTATTACGAAAGCGTTATGGTTTACAAACCTCGGGAGCTAACCGTTTTTATCCCTTAACTCTTCCCCGATCATAACCTATTCAGTTTCTCCGTAAATTAGAGGATTGGTGTTAGTCAGTCATTCAGGGATGTTGGTGATCAGTAGGCAAAGAGTTAATGAAGGAGGCCAGTTGAAACGTCTCTCAAAACATTCATGACTTTAGTATCCGAGTTTGATAATGGATTGTTATGACGGTTTCAATAACAACTAACATTTTAACCTGTTTCATCGATGAAGTCAAATGACCGTCGATTGTTATGTATAGCCTCTACCATTTTACTGATTTAACTTTCGTTATCCATTGTGGTTTACAAGCATTCCGAAGACGTTTTTCCAATTTCTTTTTATTTTAGTTTTATGAACATATTCAAAACCGTTTTAGAATGAGCTGCTGATAGTCCGCTTCAATGAATATCACTTAGTTTTATTATCTGTAACAAATAGCTTGCTTTGTACAATATCTTCATGTTAAAGTAAGACACTGAACATAATCAATATAAAGTTTAACTTGAAACAAACAGATTAAACATATGTAAACAGTATTGTGACTATTTTTTATTAAACATTCGAATATCGAATATTACATGCACTTAAGCTTATAAACATGAAAAAAATTTAATACAGGTATAATCAAGTTGTGCCCATTGATTTATTTAGTTGTTCAAATAAATCTATAATTTATTACATAGAGATTAAATGTGAACAATTGGTAAGGTTACAACTTGGTCACCAGTTATTGTTGACGTAAGATAGGAATCATAGTTTGTTATTGATAATTACCGGTGTTAGAGATAAGTTGTGTGTGTCTGTATTATGATACAATAAATACTTCTTGTTGATGTAGGAATAGGTTTAAAGAACGCTAGAGGTAGTAAAACCAATAATTGGGGTTAATTCATGAACTTACTGACTGTTGGTCTAAATCTTGTCAGTACGTGCGAACAATCTGGTTGAGGTCAACATGATAGTTCTAATCAATAGTTGAAAAAATTAAGCGATCTAGTTCCGAATAGGTTGGAGTTGAATAAATGTATTTATTCATTTTCTCCCCTTGAATCTTAATTTTCAATTTTATTTCATACTAATATTTCGTTAATTCATCTGTTCTTTTAAAACACAATCCTCCGCGTTTAACTTCCCTAACTATTATCTTGCAGCTCTCCGCTATTCACCTTGTTAATCTAATTTCGCTATGCTGATATCGTATGGCATATGTATACTAGCTTATACATTATTTATGACAGGCCGATTAATAGTGAGCGTGTTTTGACTATCTTTGCATGGGATTGTCATATTCTGGAACCATTGATGGGTCAATTCAAGTTCAATAAGTTAACTAAGTTCTGCCTGAGCTGGGTAATAAGCCTACATAATCCCCTAAAATGTATTTGTTTTCCTTTTAGTTTATGATTTCTGAAACTTTTCAACCGATTATCTATCCACATGAACTGAAATAAAGCAACAGATGCTACAATAATATAGCGACTTTCCGATATTGACGAGGTAAGACGATCGATGAATTTGATCATGAAGGGGAACGTTGTAGTGCCTTAGTACTTCTATTAAAGGTAATAAATAATCAAGTTTGAGGGTTAAGATCACCATAAAGTAACTAAGCGTCTAATTAGTTTAGACCGAATCCCTACACATATCATAAATTACACAGTAGTCTTCTCTTAATAAAATTTAAGAGTAGAAAATTATTCCTCAATACTTATTGTATTATGGAATTTATATGATATTGACTAGTGTATATATAATCAACAAACTGTCTCATCTAACGATCACTAGACGTTTGGTGTATATGATGGATTCAACTTTCGATTGACACTGACAGCTATCACTGTGTTCAGTAACTAGTCTGGAGATAGACGAGCCAAGGTGTACAGTTTCTTATCAAATAAAGAAAACTATAACATGTGCCTATGAGCTCGGCCATTTTTTAAAGCTTAATACAAATGAATACAGCTGTGATGTTACGAGATATAACTGTTTTATAAATATTCATCTGGGTATGCAATTGATCTTCAGAATAATGATATCAGGGACTTGATAGAGCGTTTACACTCATAATAATTACCAATTAGTACAACGAACTATTCTATAGCACAGAAAAGAAGCAAATTAATTACAATAAACGTCGTAGAGGATTATTGAGAACACGTAAAATCCGACTTCATGTTGCAAACAGAACATGAAGTTACTTCCTAAGATAAAATAAGTATGACAGATTGAGAATGAAGTTACTACTAGCTAGAAATAATGGAAGGAGTATCCCAGTTCCTTTCTGATGTCTTTTTGGTAGGAATGATTGAATTTCTCTCACTTAAAAAGTAGTATCATAAAACAATGAAAATACAAAGTGTTTTTTTTAATCACTGAGCGTTACATAAAAGTTTATTTACTAAATGCGATAACTTCGAAAGAGTCATAGAAATTTTAGTCCACTGATATAAAATGTCTTGAGACTGCTAAAATGGTTTCTCATCACACACACACAATTAATGAACCTGGCGGATCATGGTCTTCAGTTTCATCGGTTAACAGTTAGACAATTTTATTCGTAATGTTCATAGTTTGGTTGGTAGATAAACATATATATGAAACATAAAACCTACCTTGTTAACTCAGTATTAGATTACAACTGTATTATATTTTTATCTTGTCATCTGTCAGTTAGTTTGTGTCAAATAAATATGCGTCACTTTCACCGTATTCACCATGCATTCGGTCAGCCTAAATGTTAATAATAACCATGTGACTAGTATGTTCAGTTTCGCGAGAAACGTTTTCTGTGTTGAAAAATGAAGGCACGTAGTAGGGTGTGATAAATCGTTTGAAGTTATTATGAATATGGTTTTGGATAGATACTTAAAATTATTTATTTAAACACATAAACATTGGCACAAAGAGGCACCAAGTAGATATGCGCCACAAAAACCATTCGATTTGTGTGAGGGTTGGGATACTGCCCAGACCGAAGCAGAAAATCTTGAGAACTCCTGGCAAGTGTTGTGCTATCAGGTACTAACCATCCACTTCATTCATATCTTTCTCATTATATATCTTCTGCTAGTACGAGACCCCAATACATTAGGATCTATTATAGTTAAAAGCTCTACAATACATTATCTTGTAAAATTATTGTGACAAACGGGTCGTACGAGCTGACCTAGTCAATAACCTGAATTCTTAATCATGTTCCTAATTAACATTTGTACAAATTACTTTATTTTATTTAAAAAACTTATCATATAATTTCGAATAGTTTATTTATTTAACGTATATATGTATGCAGTCATCGACTGTTTTTCTCGTTTTGTAAAAAGAAACTTGTTGAAATATTTTGTGCTGAGAATTCCATATTGTACTTAATATATGATATTGAATGAAACCATCACTACTGCTAATACTAATGAAGGGTTAGATAGGTAGCTTTCAATTATCCCTTTCAATTGATGCCAGTTAAGATAGAAAGGTCCTGTTCAAATCAAACCTTTTCCTTACAAGATTCTATTAATTAAACTTAATATAATTAGTTGCCAAGTATCTAAAATATTAAACTACACTTCAAGGCCGTATAACAACTTATAAAAAACTTGAAATAAGATGAAAATTAGTAAAGAAGAAGACAGATCACAATGATGTAGCAAATAATAAAGTTATGTAAGATAAAAAAAGTGCTAAATGTTTTTAGGTATCATGAAAGCATCCATTTATTTTCAAAAATTCTTTGGAAGACTTATTTGGATGATATAGAAAAAAAGCATATTAATATTACGTTAGTAACTTCCTTCAGAAAAATTCTATGAATAAATGGAAGAAAGAAGTCACGAATGAAATTGACCGGTGATATGATCTTGACCAAACTAAGAGATAACGGGATAGTGATTAAAATGACTATATCATGTAACAAAACATTTTGTCATAAGGTAAATTTTGAAAAAACGTTCAGTGTAGTAAATTATAGAAAATAAGAATGGAAAAAAGCATCAAAAGTTCGTTCATAAATAAATGTTTTCCTACTGACCAACTCCAATAAGGTGAGTCATGGTTACAAAATTATCCACAAATAAATAGAACAACACAACATGAAACATAACGTAGTTCTGACTAGGAATAGTAAAACGAAAACATTAGAATAAGGAAGACAGGAATGAATAAGTACCGATTAGTATCCAGTTTCTAGATGGATGATTCAAACTTTATTCGTTTTAAAGAAAATTTCCATTACAAACTCAAACTAACGAGAGTCAATGGAGAGCGAGGCGGGATTGTTGGATGTCATACTGTTTATTGTTGAAAGGTTTCAGTCGATGTTCATTTGTGAAATTTATAGTTAAATGGAATCATTTTATTTAGAAGAAGATAAAAATTGCGGATGATGCGCCCATGTCACTGTAATCCATCAAATAAGAGAACAATATTAGAATTCGGTTCATCCGATAGGGAAAAGTACAGAATTACGCAACAAAAATATACATTAGAACATCCTTTAAAATGCTGATCGAATTATTTTACTTTCATATGACCAACCAGAGTGTTGAAGATCAAGCAATTGTTTAAGCATTTCTTGTAACCAATCTAAAGTAGTACAAGGTCGTTGAAGTATACTATATAAATGTTCTGTATCTAACATTTGTTTAGTATAAACAATAAATTTATTTAAAAATTTATTTGTCATTTTCTTCGGTGAAGTTTTTTGAAATGTTAATGGTATAGTATTAAATTTAGTGTATAAATCATTGTAAACAAGTTTTTGAAATTTACTCAATGACTTCAATTGGATCGGTTGACTACATTGACAATAGTGGATATTTTTTAATGATGACTTATTATCACTATCCAATAATGTTGTTACTGTATTAAAATTAATTAAACCAGAACACGTAATACATTTTAATTGGAAATCCTTATTACTATTAGTTATACTATTAGTAGTTGCAATGAGAGGTGACCAATTCTCTATACATGCTTGACATACACAATGAAAATGATATTGCGATTGTAATGAGCTTTGACGTTCATTAAGAGAATGTACTGCATAATGTAAACCATAATTTCCATAAATAATTTCATTTTGTTTAATAGGTCGGATTGAATAAATCGCACATTGAAATTTATCAATTGTTACATTGGTAATATTTGGATCACATGAATGATTGATTAATGACAAAACTGGATATAAACAAGTAGATATTTCAGTTGATGTCAATTTGTTTATATCTATACCGGGTATTTTGTGTTGTTTATCACTAGTATTATTATTATGAACAGTTGTAGTATTTTCTGTAAAAATATATTCAGGTAATGATAACGAATGACCATTAGATGAGATACATTGAAGATGATGTAATATACATGTAGATGCCCAATCAAATGAGAGTAGTGTACAATCCAATTGACTATTATCATCAACATCTCTGGTAATTGGATAACCACCGGCCTAAACAAATATAACAAGAAAAATGCTATTAGAATGAATATTAGTTAGGAAGATCTGAAAAGTCTGTTCAACTTCGAAGGTAAATTACATCGTCGAAAAACTTTTGAAGGTGCTGTGTTCTCTGAGTTATATGGTTTATTTTGGAACTGTTGTTGTTATTCTAGACATCATCAGCTCAGGTTTCGATTTCCACAAAACGTCACACACTCATTAGTGACTGATTTCGAGTAAAATTCACGAAAGTTTAATCAGAAGAGTTCCTTATTAGTGGAGGCTAATCATGCTAAGCATGATACACAAATCACCACAGATGAAAATACTGCGTAGACATCGCGCCATATCACAAATGGGCTAGGGATGTTAATGTGAGCACAATGGTGGTAGTGTAAAAGCAACTAATTTGTGTTTGTGTTAATAAAATCTAGTTCAGTTAGTGAGAGGACACAATGCAGTCACGTAATATTTATTAAGATGTAACAGTACTGAGAAGTTTACTAAAATATCGGGAGAAAGAAAACCACCTTATGCAAACACAGTTGACAGTTATCAGCATACTTTAGAAAAAGATTTTGGATAAATCAAACTTCATCATAGTTTAGGAATTATTAACATAGATTTTTTTCAGGGTCTATACAAGCTTCTGAGTCGCCATTCTCCCAAATGTGCATTTATTGCTATAAATTCTTCTATTTTACATTTGTTTCAACTAACTAATTATTTCTGTCAACCATTTGTATTTAAGAAGTTTCATTGAAATGTTTACAACCCTGCAGCAAATTTGACTACTAAGAAACCTAAAAAGCATCAACATGGTGGTTCGTACAATTTCATCGACCTATGTCCTTTGGGGAAACTAGAGAAAATCACTACAGAACACGCACATCAAATATATTGGGCGATGAAAAATAATGTCACGAGACCAAGAATGTTCGTAAAAATCTAGGAATGAATGGTAGCTAATCAGACATCAAAACTTCATATACGTGTATTTCCGAATATTTACAAGGTAAATCCTTGCAAAACGAGAATCTTGTTGGAATTTTGTATCCAGATTTCTTTACTATAAAAACATATATGGTATTCAACAAAGCGAGCTGATATGGCGGACAATAGCTTAATCGATTAGAGTGCGAAGGATATATGAAACTGATTTTTTTCAATCACAAGTGACACGCATCCATATCTTAAGGATTATAAGTGCCTAATTGCATAATACGGTATTTACACAGTAACTCATCAAATCATTACCGGTGAATACGACTTGATTCAGTTGCCACGTGCAATGTCCGATATCAATACTGATCCCTGATCACCCTAGATACGAGCCCAAACGGTTATTCAAAAGAAAATACTGAGAGTGAGAAAGGTGTTTATTGACTGAACTGTTATGTAACCCTATATATATTTAACGTCACTAACAGTGTATGTCTCACTCTAGGAATTCAAACCATTTCCTGACCAACCACGTGAGCTCATTATCTCGTTGATTTGTGATTGGCCAATTGCAAAACTGTATTTGAATTACCTTGAAAATCAGAGTGGAAAGTAGCTGATCATGAATCGTAGAGCATAACAGTATTTGATCTTAATAATTTGTATACAAAATCCGTATTGGATGATTTCAAAGAAACATTGACAACTTGTTACATATCATAACATCCTTAAATTAATTGCTTTACATGCTACATACTGGAAGGCAGACGATTTCGACGAAAACGCATATCTGAGAGATTTATGGAATCATTTTTATAGCTTGAAGTATAAAACCATTTAGATACACGAAACTGTTTCCTACCTAATAATATAGTCGAAGCACTTTTTTAAATCTGGGTTATATATGTACAAATTATTCACCATTCTCTATAATTTACAACTACTATTTCAATTTCTAATTTAAGCTTCTTTGGATAATAGAATATAACATATCAGTAAAATCTACAAAGACAAATAAACAGAACAAATCAGAAACCAGGTATAATTTTAAAAAATTTCGGATTTAATGTCTATTATTCTATTGATAATAATTTCTGATAGTATATAGTGGAAATATACAACTTACTTCAAGACAAAAAGTTAAATAAACAGCTACAACAGTCCGTTGCCATAAATCACTAGTTTTACGTTTAATTGAATTTGTTATCAGCCAATCAACAGTTGTATAATCATCCCAATTTTGTTGTGGAATAACACGATTACCAGTAAATGATGATAATTCTTCTTTGTTTACTGGGTTTTCATCAATTTGATAAATTAATTTATTTAAGGAAATCTGAAATGGATATTTAAAATTTCCAAATTTATTCACTTTAGTAATTCACTCAATATATATATATATATATATATATATATATATATATATATATATATATATATATAGGGTAATACCATTTAATGGGATCACAAACCGATCTTAGATAGACCAGCATTGAATTTATTTATTTATCTGAACACATGAATACTGGTACAAGGGGGCACCAGATACATGTGCGCCACACAAATCTCATTTGATTTGTGTGGGGGCTGGAATACTGCCCGAACGCCAAAACTGAAGCAGGTAGTTTTCTTAGGCGAATACTCCACGAGTATTTGACCTACAGGTCTAGTCCACAAGACAGGGGAGTAGCGTAAGGAGATGTAGTCTCATGGTAGCCGGCGACTAACAATTGGTTTATACGCCATTTGTTTCCTCAGGGTACTGGAGCCCATATGCACCATTGGTTTGGAGTCAGGGTTTTCCAACTCCCCTAGGTGGACTCTTTGTGTCCATCAACCCGGTTAAAGCGCCGGCATTGAAAACCGAGAATTATTATAAGGCCGTATCGTTCATTTCGGGTGTGAGAGTTATTTAGAATATATAACGGAAGGTAATTCAGCAATATAGTGAACTGACTGAAACTAGACATTAACATCGTTGGATCCCGGTTCAGTGCTCTGGAGGTTAGGCGTTTGCGCGCGAGACCGAAGGTCCTAGGCTCGAGTCCTGGATGTTGGGTTGTGGATGAGCAATGCTGAGAAGTGCTATACTATTGCTTAAATATTTTCAATGATGGTGTAGCTATGATCGCTTCGTCATCCAAACTATGGAAAATTATAATGGTAATTCTTTTTGTATACTCAAACACGTACAAATATATTCTCCCTCCTAAATGACGTACGATGTTTGTGTACAACGCAACCCATAAGATATACGTATCTGGTACTCCGTTTAATAACGAGCAATCCTGAATATTAACGCATGCTAGTTAAAAATATAACTGATGTGAATGTCTCATAGAACTGAGACAATTAGTGGTAAAGAATATTTAAATAAAATTAAGTCTGATGTTAATCAGTTCAAAGTCAGTCCTGAGTATCAAAAATGGAATAATACAAATCTATACCATTACTGACATAAGCATTATACTCGTTGAACAAGCTATCGGTTGTCTGGACTCAATAGATCAGCAGATAACACGCCAGTGTTCGAAGCGATATGTGCTAGGTTTGAACTTCAATGTGAACATTAACACTAGGTATATCTATCCGATTACTCACAAATAGGGCAAAACCCGAGTCCGGATTATTAACATAATAAAATTTACGTGAAAGATCATTGATAAGTATACAGTTTTTTAACAATCCCAACTGGAACAATAAATAAATATATTCTGGTAAAAGAACTATTCGAAACAGTGAATGAGAAGGTATGGTTTGTAACGAATTGACATTTGTTAGTGACAGAGAAACACAATATATCAATTTACCTTGATTAATCTATTCAAAATATTCGGGGCAGTTTTAGTTAAAAGAGAAAATGCAAGCCATGAAATATTCGGTCCACCAATTACATCGTCATCAGATAATTTATCAATGAATGACTTCAATTTCTTTATTGATACTGTCAAGTCATTTGACGATTTACTGCGTAATCGTTTCCAACCAGCATAATCTTCTATAATCAGTCGATCAACAAGTCCACATTCGAAACGATGGCACGGTAAAGATAAATCAGCTGTCGACTCTAAAGGCAATGATGTGTTAATATCAATCCATACTGGATTCCAAGCTTCTTGTTCACACAGTTCACTACAAAAACCAACCTTCAAAAAAAGTACATCAAAACAGATAATAAAACTCTTATTCAAGTATGAATTATTAGTAAATGTTATTACAAGCTAACACTGGCTATCGATTAACTACCTAGATTAAGAAACGGGTTTTATCACCTCATTTTAAAGCATCTCAAATACACGAAGTTCGGATTTTCTGAACTGATACAGTAAGGTTATTATCAAATTCCAGTTGTGGACATATCACAATATATATCACTAAGTTCGAATACATAGAGAACTGGATTTAGATGGAACGAAAAGACAGTAATATATAATCCACTGAGAGTTTGAGATTCATTATTATATGAAAAAGAGTTCGTACTTACGATGATTAAAGCAAAAAAACAAACAACTTTTCTATGTTTGTTTGTTCCACTACGGTTTTATGGATGAAGTTATGTATGTATAGAAAAACTAGACGAACTCAATAAAAATATGACAAAACAAGCACTTTAAGTAGATGTACAAAAATAACTAAATAACTATCAAACCTCATTGATATAGGAATGTCCTGCTTCGGTTTGGACAACTGGGCAGTATTCCAGCCCTCACACAAATTGAATGGTTTGTGTAACGCATATATATATATATATATATATATTTGGCGCCTCCTTGTACCGATGTTTATGTGTTTGAATAAATAAATATAGGAATCTATGATCACAAAAACATAGTGTACCTATTTACCTACACATATTTAAAGAATGTCTAACTCAAAAGAGAACCATACAAAATTATATTAAGACATTCGTATTAACAGTGTAGTAGGAGATATGATATCTAATACAGAATATCGTGCCGGTTCGGTCACAGATTAGAAAAGTGAAAATATTTTTAATGATGTAACACTAACTGATGATTTATTAAAAACTATAAAGATCGAGAAAAAGTCGTTAAAAAATTATTACTGTAGGGAGCTCCTGGAGATTGTTGAATGTCATAGTTTACATTAAGTACTGATCTTAATTGAACAACAAATTAAGAGGAGGAAGCATTAGGGACCTGGTTCATTCTAGTGTAATGAATGAATACTTGGTTAGAATAAACCAGTCTATAGTTTCAAGCAAAATCACACACTACATTTGTAAAATATGAAAACAACACATTGAATAGACCATTTTCACATTTTCCTTGAATTGTCTCTTACAAACTCCGTTGTCCTTTCATTCATGTTGTTACAAAAACTGCCTTTGCTTTTCTTCCTCTTCTCCTCATGTTCCTCTTTAGTCAGCAAGAATTCTACTTCCAATTCTTGGCACATACTACTTGTATCTGTCCGTATAAGTAGCACACAACACATTAGTATGGGCCCCTTAAATAATGTCCATTGTTGGAGAGTATTATACTAGAACATAACAGCTATTACGTATTAGTTCGAGATACACTAAAAGTATAGACTTTTGGATTCTTCCCTAAAAAAGTTAATGACGTTGATGGAAAAATCGACAGGCAAATAATAAGTTAACATAGAAAAAACAGTAAAACAATTGATCACCTGAGTACAATTACGGCAGGGTATAGGATTGATACATCGTTTAGAGCAACGATAACAATTGAGTAATAATCTATTGTAATGAAGTCTACAAGAATACGGTTTATCTAGTATGAGAAGTTCACCTGAAAGAAAAGAATTGTTAGCAAGCTGTCAAGTTGAACCTGAAACAATCTGTTAACAGACTCAATTGAATAATAATAATAGACCTGAACTTACACTTTTTACGAGCATTAAAATAATGGAATGATAATAATTGACTAGGTTGTTGATATGGACAAAAATCGAGTTTGATTTTTTAAATTCTTTGGGACATCCTCCAATCACATAGTTTGTAAACGATTCCTGATCATATTGATTTTCATGTTCAAAATGTTGTACGTTATTTAGCCGGAAATAATTAATGCTGCTGATCAGTTGCTTTCTTTCTAGGTGTTCGTTTTTCAGGAGCTTTATATCAGGAATTCGACCTCCTGGAAAGTTATCCGTCGACCAGACCGTATTACTGCTTATTATCTGTAAATAAACATTCTATTCACTAGTTGACCAACCTAGCACATGTGCATTGTCATAAAACTTAAAAACTAAACTCGATAACAGCTCTGGATCTCGGGAGAATGAAGTTTAGCATGATTGTAGGTATGATTTGTGGAGGCTTGATCTAGTGGTTATTATAATCGACTTTCAATTAGGAGGTTGTGTTCTTGAACCTTGCTCCACTGCAGCTTAAGTGGCTAAAAATATTATTAGCCCTCTTACACAAAACGTGCTGTCTAAAGCTGAATAAAGAAACTTATGCTCATTACTTAAATACCCGAACGTATAAATTATTAGTAAATGTGAATAATTCAAAAATCTAATTCTCCTAGAAATCAATCCTCCACTTATAGCAGCTACAATTCTGTCAGTGAAAAAATCACTGGTGAAAATAGTATCAGATATCAATATTAGTTGTTACACAGTGAAATAATAGCAATGATTCAGGTAAACTACAGCAAATTATTTCTAGCTATAATGATGGCTGTTTCAAACCAATAGATTTGTTTCGATGATCTAAATTGATATAAACAACGATGAAATGTAAGTTTTTGCAAATATTAATCGGGTTCAAATAAATGCTATTTGAACACATACGAAGAGAAAAATCGAAAACTTAATAATTTGATCACAGAAAAAGCTGTTTACAACTTTTGGATTCTTGTTATTAGGAGGACAACAATATTATTATTTCTATAGTTGAGCTAGACTTTTCATTAGAACTACAGGAATTCCATCTTGAAGTTAGTTACTATTAAGCACATGATTATTATTAACTAGTAATTACTTACGTCCAACCACTACCTATCTGGACAGGTGTTGTCTGGTGCGGACTGGAAGAAAGCTAGGGGAGGCAAAACCAAAACGCAATAACAGTCTATGAACCATGGAAATGAAGTGTTGATATATGCACACTATACGGTCAGAGTCCATGCAATTATCGTAACAAGAAGTTGGAGACACTGGGTGACATAACTCAAAAACCTTCACAATGGAATAGATGTATTCACTCTTTATCTACTCTTAAACCCTGAGTTCAGAAATCTTCTTACACTAACTTCGATTTTTTCTTTGCTTAATCTTTTCTACTATTGCTGATACTATTAATACTTAATGATTTTACCTAGCTATGTTAATATGATGTGACAAGTGGGGCAGATGAATTATGTGCCAGGTTTAAAAATAATACAGTATACGAACCTGGTTGAATATTTTTTGTCGCTACGATATGCCAACCAAATTCATCATTATAATTTAATTTCACAGCTGGTGGATCTTGTAAATGGAGAGAGCGAAAAATGCTTGGATGCAAATTATGATCTGTGATATTACTGCCATTATTAGGATTATTATAATTCTTTGTAATGATCGTTTGAGTGTTTTCATGCTTCATTATTAACGATTTCGCCTCATGTACAAAGTACGGTATAACTGAATTATCAATCAATACTTCATCTTTTTTTATAGTTGAACAATCTTTTATTCCCTTTTGCATCATTTCATTTAAATTATTTGGAATAGTTAAATTTTCAGATTTCATATATTCCACACAGTTATTGAATTCAGTTAATGCATCTTTAAAGAGTTTCAGCGAAATAAGACTTTGTGCACGACGTATAAATAGACGTGGACGACGATCTTTAGGGAAATTATACTTTTACAAAGAAAACACAGTAAAAAAAAATAATAAACAGCGATTGAAATATATATGACAAGTCATAAAAAGTACAATCATTGATTGATGATGAAACTAAGAGAATGACTAAAATAGGATGGAAAAAAAGTATAGGGTAAATAGAGATATTACTAACAAATCAATTACAGCAGTTATGATACTTATGAAAAGTTATAGCTTAATTTAAACAGTATCAACCTTTTAGTTGAATGAGAGTGATAAAATAATCTTTTAACTGAATTTTAATTAATACTCTAGGTGCAAAAATAAAAAAAAACAAACAGTGAATCGTGACAAATATTAACAGTGTAATCATATCAAAACATACATGTAATTCACAACACAAATAACAAGTAATTACAAAGTTGAATAAGATCACTCTGTATTTTTCTACCATGACAACATATAAAAGTTCTGTAAATCTAATCGTTAAAACAAATATGTATTTCACTAAAATATGTGAATAGAAATGAAGAGATAAACTGTAAAAGAAGGAATAGCAAAAGTTATTACTGAATCCAAGATTTTTCAACAAATAAGTCACATTGTTTAAATGATTAAGCCAATCAATGCTGTGGTGATGTTTATCGATTGATTTGATCACATTGTATAAACATTCTTCTTATCTCAGACTATTAGTTCTATCTACCAGTAGAACTGATATGTTTATATGAAAGTTTCTTTTTTTGAATTATTCAAGTTTAACGTAATGTAGGAAACTGTTTGTATTTCCAATAAATTTGTTAACCAGCTCCCAATATGACTTAATAAATCATTAATACGATTCTTTTCCAACTAAGTTCTAGGGAGCGAATTAACAGAGAAAGTTAACCATTTCAGTTATCTTAGGAGTCTTATCAACGTGAACGGGTAGGTAAAGGGCAAATCTCAATATGGATACAAAAAGCTCGCGCAGTTCTTGTCAACATTCACCACCTACAGCCTATTGAAAATTGTATGGAGTAGCATATTGTCTAATATTCATGAAGACACTAACTTTTGGTTTGAATCGCATCATTAGATGCAGGCTTTTCAATAAGGCTATACACAAATGTGCCATAGGTCGAAAATGGTCGTAGGAATAAAAATGAACTAACAATATTGAGAGTAAGTAAGAGTGTGGAAACTTATCAACTGATCAGATTTAAAATCTAAATGTTTAGGATAGTTAGGACACACATCACCTATCTTCGTACACTACAAACTTTAGTTTCTTATAGTAAAACGAAGAGAATTTAAATAGAAGAGCTAAATTGTAATAAAGCCAGAACAAAGAAGGAATTAAACAAATTAAACTCGACAGAAATGAAGAACTAACAACAGAATCTTAACAACTTACGAATTGTAATCTTGTGAAAGCTAGAAGTATAGAAACACAATGTACATTTATATTACAACAAGATAGAATAACTAACCTTAATCAAAATTAGAATGATTTAGTCATCGAAAATTTAGTACTTAAGTCGCTAGACTGCAATTACATGAACATATATGCTGACATATACCATATTATATAAAAATCAATCGTGAATAGGTTAATATTAAGTTGAAATGTTTCGCATACAATGCCTTGTTTGCTAAAGGCTGTATCCTTAAGTAGTTACGTTTAGTTGCATATTCGTTAACTTTAAAATTTAGTATCACGAACATTTTATTTTGTGATTGCAATTTAAAATACACCAGTACTAGAAAAAAGTTAGTCGGCAAAGAGAAGTGTAAATACTAAATGTATGTTTGTTTTATAACCTGGAAACTATGAAAATACATTTCAGCGTTATCAGTTAATCTACGTTGGTTGAACATAATAAGATAGTGAAAGATGCTTGGAGTCAATTTACTGAAATGTGTCTATAAGGGTTCGCAAATTTGCAGCATTGGAGAAACTAGTGTTCCACCAGTTATCGGAACCCACTTCACGTATATTTCTGCAAATGGGAACATAGCTAGCAAGTGCCGTATAACATAGGTCTAATGTTTCCTGAAAACTGACTTTATGTATCTGAATTACAAACCGTAACAAAACCATACTGAATTATTTTATAAACGTGTTATAATCTCTTTCTTACGGTATGACCCAGCTATTCCTATTGCTTAATATTCTTGGACACCAAATCACTCGACATGTCGCCAAATCAGAACACGGTTGAACAGGAAAGAGATTATATTCCAAATAACAAGGTTAGATGGAAGTAAGATGCAAGTAAGAAGCACAATAGAGAAAACGTTAGTATATTTATAGTTTTTACATGAGAAGATTCTAGAGTATTCTTCAACTATCGACTAGTGCTGATTGGATAAGAACTAGCCAATCAGCGTGCACCAAAGCAATCGTGCACTGAGCATGCTTTAATCCAGTCTGTCCCGCTAACAAAACGGAACATTAGATTATTAAAATCTAACTCCAATGAACTATTTGCAATACACAGTAACTCGCCGTTCGGATTTGATATAAAATGATGTTATCTTTGGTCAGGAGCGTTTAAGGACAAATCAGGAAAAAGAGAATAATGAAAGAATTTATTAGCTACTATTACCGGTGTTGATTACAGTGAAAACTGTAAGGTTATTTGTAAACATTATTTCAGTTGTTCTAAAGGTTAAGCGCTTGCCACGAAATATGAAAGTCCTGAGTTCGATCTCCGGTGTTGTTGTGGATGCTTACCGCTGAGTAGTCTCATAGTTAGAAGAAGCAACTATAGAATACGTCTCGATTTCTAACGGTTATCTGGTAGATCAGTCTGTGATGCAAACTGGGAAAACTGTGTTAAACTAAATAAGAAGATTCGTATTATAAAACTTAAGTCTAAATCTTCCTAACTATTCCTTTCAATCACTTAACTTTGGAAATAATGCATCACAAAATCGGGTTCTTAGAATAGTGAACACGCAACAAATTGATTAATAAAACTCAATAAAAGCACAAAGGATAACCTAGACATGAAATTAATTACCACTGAGTGACCAAATATTATAAGCAGCATTCAGAAACAATTAACCTCAACCGCCAAGAGAGTGGTACTACAGTTAGCGTGTAGCGTTGGACAGATATGGCGAGTCGACTAAGGAAGCTAAAAGCTTTCATTGACTGAGATAGTTAGGACATCTGTTACACATATCTTCTGATTTCATTGATCTCTTATTTGGTGTTGAAATGAGGTGTGACAACTTGAATAGATACACATCTGAGCGAGATTCTATGATGGCTACGATTAACAATATTATTCGACTGTCAAATATAATAACTTCCAGGATTAAAATCCCAATTTTGAGATCTGAAAAGCTAGGTAGTATATATATATATATATATATATATATATATATATATATATATATATATATATATATATATATATATATATATATATATATATATATGGTAAAGTAAATCCCCTTAGAAAACTGTTAAGTAGGTATCTAGTTACAGAATATAAGAATGCTTTTTTTCTACAGAACTAAGTACAATACATATTTTCGGTTAGCTTAAAAGTCTACTAAAGTGTTCACTTATGTACCACTCGGTAATAGTGCACCATTTTTAGTTAACAGTGCACAAACTAGTCACAATCTGAATACGAAAAATGTTGAGTGCGAAAACTGTACAATCTCAATTTCACAGTAATTAGAAAACATGAGTCTATACAAATATGCAGTAGGTTCTTTTTATATTTGAATAGGAATTTAAACCAGTTACATAAAAAATCCTACTTTTTAATTGGGTTCATGAGTTTAATTGAATTTCATAAACTTACTTTAATAGCCAGATCAATATCTTGTAATACTGCTTCATGAACACCGATACGACTTAAAACACATGACCGATTACCATAGCCTAAAGCTTTTTCTTCAGAACTGCTGGCAAAGAAAATCGCTTCAGTGTAGTAACGAAGAGCTAAAGATAAATTATTAGTACGCCATGCTTCATTTCCCTGTTCACGTTTTTGTTTAGCAATGGAATTATTTTTCACAGCTGATTGGTCAGAGACTAACAGAAAAGATAAGTAATTATACAATAAAGCAATATTATTTTAAGGTTGATAAATGATTTTAAAATATAAAATAGATTAATTTTGGCTACTAGTGAAAAGTAAAACGCCCATTTCGTCTTATTTTGGACCCGGATAGGACGAAATATGTGGCAAAACGTTTATATCTAGGCAAACGGTACAGGATACACATACGCTAACGAAGACTGATCAAGCTGAAGTTATAAATAACAACAACAGCATCATTTAAACTCTTGTTAACAGTAATGTAGTTTAAAAATACTTCTTATCATGGACTGATACTAACCAAAAGATCCCAATAGAAAAGGAAACACTGAATAGTTATTTTGTTCAGTATTGGATTTTTCAGTCATACTGAAATGTATCAGACGAATAACGAAAATTGCAAGTAGCCAACAGAATTCTTTAAAAAAACTAAATAAATCTAAGCTATTCCGTTCACTTTGTTGCTTTTACTTTGTTCAAACTAATGGAGAGAAGAGATTTTATAAAATGAAAATAGTATTGTATAACGCACTACAATATGAGCAGCTGATAATAAGGGTGTACATTCTACTTATTATTCACTAAACTTTAGGTGTAGTTTGGGATTTGGTCAGTCAGTATCAACGTAGAACTTCGTACTTATGTACATCGATTCGAGTTGCCATACCACATTAGCACAGAGACACAATTGTCGATTCAAATCCCATAGTGGTAGAGGTAGTAAGAGTATAAGCAGTAATCAGAGAGATTAGGGTTTGGAGATATTATTCAATGAGTAAAACCCAGTGAAATATATTTGAAAAGAGAAAAAAAGGGATATGAATAATTCAAAAGACTAGAATTTGGGAGAGCACAAAAATTGGATGCACGTGAGCCACTGCACACGATTTTGAGCCATATCATTCAGGATCTCTAACCATCGGTCGCCATCATCTCGCGGTCCCCAACCACGCAGTCTACACCTACCAACATGGCTCAGTCCACTTGTCAGCGACTTCATGGATTTGTGACGTTTTGGTCTGGCCGCCCGTATCTTTCTTCCAACCTACTCCTACACCAGAAAACATCGCACGTCGAGGCAGTCGGTCGTTGGGCATACGTAACACGAGTCCCAGCAATCTCAACTGATGAAGTTTCACTACTTCATCAATTGATTTGCCGTCCTTATCTAGTACCCGTTTCCTAGCAACTGCATTACTTACTCGGTGGTCCCAGGATATACGAGCAATGCTTCGAAGGCACTTATGATTAAATACTAGTAACCTACGAATATCGTCTACTCTTACCGGCCATGTCTTGGTAGAAAATCACTTTTTGTTTCATCGTATATATCAAAGGTGTACGTTGCAAATAAGCTTTGGATGGGCTTGAAAACAAACACAGGATGAAGTCTAACTATTCCTGAATTTAATTCCAAAAATGTTCATGAATATTGAGAGTTGTGAAAAAGGTAACGTTGGTGTTTTGAATCATCGACATCCATCATCTTCCCCTGAATGCCCTGGTACGGCCGAGAGTGGGGAGAGTCCGCTCTCCCTCTCGAAATACTCTCACACGGCCACGCGTATATAGCCTCTGCCAGGGAAGTCCTACTCATTGCCTTCTCGTGGCGGGGGTGTTGTTTACGAAAATGAGAGGACGAGAAGCGAATGTCCGGCGCTTTAACCGGATTCCAAACCAATGGTGCACATGGGCTCCAGTATCCTGCGGGAACGAATGGCGTATGAACCAATCGTTGGTCACCGGCTACCATGGGACTGCATCTCCTTACGATGCTCCACTGCCTTGTGGGTTAGACCTTTAGGTCAAAGGCTCGGGGAGTGGCCCCCTAAGATAACCACCTGCTTCGGTTTGGGCACCCGGGCAGTATCACAGCCCACACACAAATGATGAACGCTTTATGTCTATGGAAACTACTTTTGTCGCTTTGAAAAACAATCAATTGATTCAAATTATGATCACTTCAATTATTGTCATTATTAATACTAATATTATTATTACTACTATTATTGTCATTATTGTTATTATTATCATTATTATTATTATTTTCCACATTATTCACCTTCTTTTATACTTATACAGCGGCTCGTCTTTGGTGGAATTCCGACTGTATCTAAACGTTCTCGAGTCACTGTCCGGTTGAAAATTGTATGTTACCACCGAATACGAGGACTGAAGCAGATTTTCTGAAACCACGTGCATCATTCAAACTGGCTGCCTTCAACGTTCGCACATTTATGCAGGTCGGACAACAGATAGGGCTGGCTATGTCTTTGGAAAGTCTTAATATCGACGTGTGTTGTCTATCCGAGACCCGTATTCAAGACTCTGGCGAAGTACTACAAATTCGATCTCCATCTGTCGCTTCGAAAAGCTTGTTTTACGTGCGCTTATCCGGGGACCATGTAGCAACTTCGTCTGGTTTTGCTGGCGTTGGTGTCGCACTAAGCGCTAGAGCTGAGGCAGCACTAGTCGATTGGATCCCCATTAACAGTCGGTTATGTGCTGTTAGATTAGAAAGTTCCATCAAAGTGAGAAGAAATCGGCGTGCGAAACGATGTCTTTTCATCATCTCCACCTATGCTCCGACAGATTGCAGCCCGGATGCAATCAAGGATGAGTTTTACTACCAGTTATCTGTTCTTCTCCAGAAACTGCGTTCGACAAGTATTGTAGTACTAACCGGAGACTTGAATTTTCAGGTCTGACGTCTAGGCACAGAAGAAAGTCGTTTAGGTGGTTGATGGGGACTCGTTGGTCGCAGGTCAGATAACGGGGACCGTCTACTGCAACTTTGCGCAGACCACAACCTGTTTCTGGCTAGCACTAACTTTCGGCACAGTCATCGCCGATGTGCCACCTGGCGTCCTCCCTCTGCATCTCAAGCCTGGACTCAGATTGATCACATCGCGATCAGCTACCGCTGGCGTGGTTGTGTACAAGACTGCCGCTCCTTTTGGAGTACCTATCTGGACTCTGACCATGCCTTGGTCTGCGCCAATCTTGCCTTACTTTTCAGTGGACAACGAAGTGAACGCCATCAACGGATTGATGTTAGCAAGCTGGTTGCAACTTCTGTTGCAAGTAAGTATCGAACCGAGCTAGCCTCTAGGCTAGCTACCACTCCACCGAAAAGTATAGATGAGCATTGGTTGCAATTGCATGACGCCATGAAAATGGCGGGAACAGTCAGTTGTGGGTTTGCGAAACGTCCCGCTTTTAAGCACTGGGTTTCTTCTGGTTCCTTACAACTCATTGAAGCCCGTCGGTCTACTCCGGGTAACCGTGAGTTTGACCATAAACGAAGGTTTTTACGTAAGGAAATCGGGCAAAGCTTGCGTAAGGACCGAGAAGCCTGGTGGTCGATGCGTGCTAATGAGCTGGAAGCAGCAGCTGCATCTGGTAACTACCGGAAGCTCTTCCAACTCATCCGAGCCACTGGCAGCAAGAAGTCTGGTGTGAGTGAAACAATCTGCGAGGATGATGGGATGCCAATCACTAACATCCATCGACGTCTTGGACGATGGGCAGAATTTTTCGAAGGGCAGTTCAACTGGCCTGCTGCTCCGGTAACATCGGTCAGACTGTCCTGCCCTCCATGGCCGGTGACGACTGATCCACCAAATGAGGAGGAAGTCCACAAGGAACTCCAACTCTTGAAGCGTTACAAATCACCTAGCCCAGATGACTTACCTCCGGCTCTTTTTAAAGATGGTGGTGACTTTTTGACTAAGGAATTGACGACGTTGTTTACAAAGGTTTGGGATCTAGAGAGTGTACCAACGTCATGGAATGAGTCGATAGTTGTCCCTATCTTTAAAAAGGGTTCACGTCGTTCTTGTAACAACTATCGGGGGATAAGTCTACTTCCGATTGCGTCCAAGCTATTGGCTTCCGTCATACTTCGTAGATTGTTCAAAACCCGAGAAAGATTGACTCGCGAGGAGCAGGCTGGGTTTCGTTCTGGTCGAGGATGTATTGATCATATCTTCACCCTCCACCAAATGTTAGAACACCGCCATACTTTTCAAAGGCCAACAATCGTAGTGTTTCTTGACATCAGGGCTGCCTTCGATTCGTTGGATAGGACTGTTCTCTGGGATTGTCTATTGAAGAAGGGTGTGCCTGAGAAGTTTATTAACATCCTAAAAGCCCTATACACATACACCTCAGGCAGAGTGAGGGCATACAACCACCTCTCTCCATTGCTCCATTCGAGCAGTGGGGTTAGGCAGGGTTGCCCAATCTCACCATTCCTCTTCAACTTTGCCATCGATGACATTCTGGAAACAGCTCTGATGAATGTAAGTAATGGTGGTGTGGATCTGTTGCCTGGAGAAAGACTTCTCGACCTTGAGTATGCGGACGATATTGTCTTACTGTGCGATAATGCCCAAGGCATGCAATCCGCACTTAATCAGTTGGCAATCAATGTCCGTAGGTATGGTATGTGCTTTGCACCTTCGAAGTGCAAAGTACTTCTACAAGACTGGCAGGATCCAATCCTGTACTCACCCTGGATGGTGAGCAGATAGACGTAGTTGAGAAGTTCGTGTATCTGGGTAGCTGCATAAGTGCTGGTGGGGGTGTGAGTGATGAGATCAATGCACGAATAGTGAAAGCCAGAGCGGCTTATGCCAATCTGGGCCACCTTTGGCGCCTTCGTGATGTCAGTCTGGCTGTAAAAGGCCGGATCTACAACGCGTCGGTGAGAGCAGTTTTGCTCTATGCTTGTGAAACCTGGCCTCTCCGAGTTGAGGACGTTAGACGACTCTCTGTGTTTGATCATCGCTGTCTCCGAAGGATTGCTGACATTCAGTGGCAACACCATGTCAGTAATGCAGAGGTTCGGCATCGTGTGTTCGGGCACAGAGATGATAACTCAATTGGTGTCACCATCTTGAAACACCGACTTCGGTGGCTTGGACATGTTCTCCGAATGTCGTCCCAGAGAATTCCACGTCGTGCATTATTTGCCGACTCTGGGACTGGTTGGAAGAAGCGGAGAGGTGGTCAGTGCATGACATGGTGTCGTGGCATGAAAGAAAGCTGCAAAGGACTGGCTTGTGTTGGTCCTTCACGACTCCCTGGCTGGGGTCCGAAAGATGGTGCAACACAGTGGCTAGAGACGTTATCAGATATGGCTCAGAATAGAAGCCAGTGGCGATCCTGCTGTAACCTTCTTTTACTTTCTTCATAAAAAGTGGTTGTGTCTCCTTTACCTGAAAGATTTCTTCTGATTGTACCTCTTCGTCATTACTCTCTTTTTCTTTTGCGTTCCTTAGTTTTTTTTTTTTCTTTCTACTTCTCTTCGAATTCCCATTGTTTTGTGTGGCGCATATATATTGGCGCTCTCTTGTACCAATATTTATGTGTTCAAATAAATAAATAAATAAATAAATAATTTTGTAGTTACAAACATACGAAATTCTTACATAACCACTTGCAAAATAAAGATCATTTACTTGAGATTTTAAATTGTCTAAGAAATGGCATTGACATAAACTTCTTGACACGTTCATAGTCTGTTTTACATTCTTCAAACCCAGGAAGCCAAGGTAGATCATACGAGGGTGGACTCATCTCTACAACTGACTCCATTACAAGATCACAAAAGCGATATAAGTCTGTTGGATTCGGAGTAACCATTTTGTCTACAAAACAAAGTATATTATTATTTGGTGACATTGAAAAACAAGTAAAATAGTATCGTAGAAAAATTTGCCTTATACTAGTTATTTACGAACATACTAATGCATACATATTTATTTATTTAAGCACATAAACACTGGTACAAGAAGGCATCAAACAGACATGCACCATAAAAATCATTCAATTTGTGTGAGGGCTGGAATACTGCCCAAACGCCAAAACTGAAGCAGGTAGTTTTCTTAGGCGAATACTCCACGAGCATTTGACCTGCAGGTCTAATCCACAAGACAGTGGAGCATCGTAAGGAGATGAAGTCCCATGGTAGCCCGTGACCAACAACTGGTTTATACGCCATTTGTTCCCTCAGTATACTGGAGTCCATGTGCACCACTGGTTTGGAATCAAACAATAGCAAAAAGTCATCATTTCAGGGACACTAACAGTCACCAATGAGGTGTGATTACAATCTCAAAAGAGTTTCGCTTTGTGTTTCAAGAGTCTCAAAGAATGAATGATAACTTTAGACTAACCAGCTTGTAATCTCAGAGTATTCATTGGAAATATTAGGAAACAAGGACTTTTGATATAGCGTCAACCGAGGTGGGTTCGAATCTGTTAATATCTTGTGAGATCTAAAGCAAAACGTACTGGTGTCTCATGGTTGAGGATCATATGCCAGTTATAGGGGCTCCTTAACAACCACCTCCCAAAATCCAAAACAATAGCTTTGAGATAACTAGTAGAAAATGTAGATTGTACGTTTCTAATTTGACTAACAAGGTGCCAGTGAGTTTAATATTTATCACTAGTATTTGTCCATATTCGGAACTTGAACTATCAAAAACAAGTTTTGTAAAAAAATGCGAAATATTGATTTAATATTTGTTATGCTTAAATTTGTAAAGGTCTGCGTCTGTTTTACATGACTTAACGTTTTCTGTTTCATCTATTTAGAGTTGCGACGATAAATCAGTTCAGATATAAATTGTAAGTATGGGAAATAGTGAATGCTAAGCCAACCAAATGACACGATATTGTAAGCATTGATTTCAACTCAATCGAGTAAAACAAATATATCAATCATATTAGATTCACAATCGTGTACCGCTACTTGGAAATTCAACCGTTTTTTTAACCAGATAGTTCACTTACGAGCAGAAGCGGGCAAAACCGTCGTCTCTACAGACGTTTCAGGATGGTTGCTGTGGAGATCAAGTAGGATAAGCTAGAAATTTCTCAGATGGATGTTCAATATCAAGACACGGTTACTGGAGAACTAGACAAAATCGAAGTGTGTAACAAGTAACTCAATTAAGATAGTATCCAACTTTTAAAAAGTAACTTACATAATGTAATTAACATTCATTAGGAAATAATTCTACGACCAGTTGCTTCTAAAAAATTGGTTACCATCATAATGCGCGGACTATGGAAAATATGTGAATGGTGGAGTTGGATGTAGTTACCTGGGTTTTGTTCAGACTAGGAATACATTGGTGCCAAGTTGGGAAAAATGTTCGGGCACCACCACATGTATTGCATGAGAACAATGACTAGTATTATACATGAATGTAATCCTTAGTTTGAAACCTTTATAAGGGAACAAGTTAGATAAAATAAGGTGATACAACCAATCCTTCTACCCTATACTGTTTTAAACAACGAGTATATTGATTACAGGGTTACCAACTCTTTCGGTCTCCATTTAACTTTACCGACAGTAACACTCTACAAGCATAAAATTAGAAAGTTGTGTAATAGTAATGAAAACTATGATGCAACTGAATGGAAACTACTTAATATAATAGCCTGGAATATTTATTGTCCACATAACGTGTGAATAAAAACAGATAAACACAAAATAAACACGTAAAATTTCCTACAAGAAAGGTTCATGAAAGACACAATTATTCCTTTGGAATAGCACTTTATTCACATTTGTTCCTAAGTACACGAACATATATATACACTCAAAAATAAATTTACGAAATATCTGATTCCACATTTAATTTACATACATATATGAAAGGCTCACAAACACAGAGAGAAACAAAATTTCAAATTTAATTGAGCATAAAGCTGGAAATGCAAAATACTAAGTGAAAAACTACAAAAAATTTGATGGTAGAGTAAAAGACAGAAATAAAAGAAAATATAATAGAATCTAGTTAGGTGATACATCCAGATGACATTGAACTGGTAGGGCTACCATTACTGCCACCAACGCCTATGGTACTATTATTAACTATTGTAGAAGTATAATCAGTAGCTGTTGATGTACCTGAAGCAACTTTAGCGTCTAAATAGAAAAGAATGTAAGCTGTATAAGAAGATTTCGAGGTTTCCGTAGACGAACCAAAAAAGTCCTCAATATTGGTGCGATGGATTTTCTAGACGGAAAAGGAGTACCACATTATTATACAGAATTTAAATTTAAATTATATGCGTACACTTATGGTTTTAAAAGAAATATAAAAAGTAATTACACTTGTATACAGTATGAGTTGTGCTAATCTATGAGGGGCTAAGAAACTACAACAATTTATTACATTTTACCACATGGAATGAAATTTAAAAGTGTAACCCGGTGAGTGGCATATGAATAACTGATCCAAAGAATAACGGATCCCGTTAAGAAAGAAAACGCAAACCAATTACCATATGAAGTCTGACCACTAGACCAAGAATGATATTTAAGGTGGACAGGAAATATCATCTGGTTTATAAAACTAAAATAGATGGAATGTATGTGAAGCCTTTACTTGCGGGTGTTAGATGAAAAGAAAGTATTTACGTGTGAATGAGTCACCAAGCAGTAAATATTCAGGTTAACTGGGGAGTTTAAAGTGGAAAAGGTAGGTAATCCGGGTGCAGAGAATATAATATCAAATTCAACCCCATAAGATACAAATCTTCATTAACACGAAATCTGATAAGGTAATTAAACTGAATCTATTTTGTCCATAGAATATTAGGATACCTGGCAAAATCATTGGTTAACAAGCGATGGTACCGAACGGTAAAAAGATATGAAATTAAACCATGAAATTAGAGTTCCTCTTAAAAGAATTTGTATGTTGGAATTAGGCATTAAAGTATTGGCTTTTTATTTAGAAACACTAGAATTCCAAACATTGAGTCACTGTTTTCAGCTGTGATCCACCTTTTTTGATGTGGCATCTGAATATCACAGGTACTCAGATAGTTAGTGAGGTAATTAGGAAATCGTGAACGATGTAACCCAAACAGCGACCTGACGGTACAGATCTTTTTTTCTAGGTGGTTGGAACTTTTGGCTCATAACATCATGGGCTATTTTCCTTTTAGGGATGGTATTGATCACCCTATAAACCAGAAAGCCTAATTGGACAAATAAAAATGTCGCTTGAAGCTAGTTATAGCATTAAAGAATTGGAATATGAAACTTACTTCAACTAGTTCGTCATCAAACAAAAACCATAATCCATGAGACTTCACAAGTGTTACATAATGTCCACGATTTGGTCCAGAGCCTGAGTGAACGACAACAGCCATAAGATTATATAGACGATCATCATTAGATGAGTCACTAGACTGTTAGTGAAAATGAGTAAGCGTGAGAAAATCAACTAAATCGTCAATAGATGTGAGGAATAAAAAACAATTTATAGATTATGAAGCCTAATAACAGTTTATGGACTCTAAAGTTTACACTTCATCATGCTGGTGTGATATGCAAGCTTGAATCGACTCATTTGTGTTATTTCCTACGTCGACTATGACTGACCAACGTGTCTAAACTGTTCCTAAATAAAGCAGTTATAAATCATTAAGTTAATGATCCCATGTTGTTCCGATCAAGGATAACGAAGTGTGAAACTGTTTATTTATTTATTTGAACACATACATATTGGTACAAGAGTGCGCCAAATATATATGCGCCACACAAAACAATGAGAATTTAAAGGGAAGGAAAAAGGAAAAAAAGGTAAGGAGGGTAAAAAAAAGAACAATAAGGAAGAGATTGGTGTAAGGTAGTGTAATAATAATAGTGGTAATAATGCGGGAACGGAAAGGTACAATCAGAAGAAATCCTTCAGTTAAGGAAGATACAGGCATTCTTTTTTATGAAGAAAGTAAAAGAAGGTTACAGCAGGGTCGCCACTGGTTTCTATTCTGAGCCATATCTGATAACGTATCTAGCCACTGTGTTGCGCTATCTCTCGGACCCCAGCCAGGGAGTCGTGAAGGGCCAACACAAGCCAGTCCTTTACAGCTTTCTTTCATATCACGATACCATGTCATGTACTGACCTCAGTGGTCTGGCTGGCTCAGTGGTCTAGTGGTTAAGTGCTCGCGCGCGAAACCAGTAGGTCTTGGGTTCGAATCTCTGCCCCCGAATGCCCTGGTATGGCCGAGAGCGGGGTAGGTTCGCCCTCCCTCTCGAAATACTCTCACACGACTACGCGTATATAGCCTTTGCCAGGGAAGTCCTACTCATTGCCTTCTCGTGGCGGGGGTGTTGTTTACAAAAATGAGAGGACGAAAAGCGAATGTCCGGCGCTTTAACCGGATTCCAAACCAATGGTGCGCATGGGCTCCAGTATCCTGCGGGAACAAATGGCGTATGAACCGATTGTTGGTCACGGGCTACCATGGGACTGCATCTCCTCACGATGCTCCACTGCCTTGTGGGTTAGACCTTTAGGTCAAAGGCTCGGGGTGTGGCCCCCTAAGAAAACCACCTGCTTCGGTTTGGGCACTCGGGCAGTATCTCAGCCCGCACACAAAAACATGATAAACTATCTACTTATGAAAGTGTGAAACCGTGGTATTCTCAAACACTAGGCTACATAAATGTAGAATAATCTTCGTTTACCAGTGGAAATTTGTGAAAGCAACTACATGAAAATCACAACAAACACAAATCTTAAGCGAAACTAACCGTATTGAATAGTCTTAATTCCATAGGGAAAGCGACTCTGTAGGACAACTTGATAAACCGATTGAGATTTTCTGAATACTTGAATCGCTTCAAATGCAGGGCCAGAAGTAAAGGTGGCTTTTTAATGCGCATCCTATGAAAGAGAACAAGAAACCTGGTTGACGGTGGTGAAAATCACAAAGGTAAATTAGCCTAGGAGTGGTTACTTTTAACGATACTATTTAGGTAAGGAGAAACCCAAAAATTACTAGAGATGACAAGCTGGAAGGTCTCAATTTCACCAGGTCTCCAAAACTTTAATCTACGAAGAATCCGAACGGTGTCTAGAGATATGGTTTTTGACTGCCGAGGAATCTCTGTGCTAATAACATTTCAGAGGTGATTGCGATTTCGTTTAGATTTTGCCCTAGTTGAATACGTGACGACTGAGAATAAATTAACTTGTAGGTAGTTGGTTATAGTTTATGCAATAAGAGTATTTAAAAGCTTTTGTATCCCAATTGGAATGAAAACACCTTAATTTTGAGTACTAAGTTTTCTGGAGAAGTTTAAGTTTAGCAAAACCCTCATTCTCTTTCAATACCAAGTGATGTAATGTACGAGTCCAATGTGTAACGTGTATCTCGAAACCAAAGGAGTTCGTAAAACAAAATGGATTACGTAATGTCACTTAGTTATCAGGCTCTGGTACTACCAACATACACTGTAATCTTTGACAATAGAAACACCGACTAAATTTGGACGAACTATTGAACGGCCCGTATCCAAATAAGAACAACTTTACTAATTAGACGTATGGAGTGAGCAGGTATGTCGACATAGTTAAAGTTATGTAAACCAATGTTGGTTAAGAAATCACACATGAACTCACCGTCTCTGAGCTTCTTGCTTGCAACGACAAAATTCACAGTAATACTTATTGTCTGAACGCATTGTTTCAGTATCGGAAAAGCAACGGAGACAATAAGATATATCAACATTTTCTCCGACATCAACTGATAGATCGAGGAAATTTTCCTCTTTCGTGCGAACATTATCACAGTTAAGGCACCTAGTTTCATTGGTCAAGCTTCCTTGGAAGATCTCATGAATCCAATTACGGCCACTATGCTTTCGATTACTTTCTGAAACATCAGTCATTTCACAATCACTAGGATCTTCAGCATCTTCTACACCGGTTGGTTGTTGTTCGGCTAAAAAGTTTGTTTGTGATACGTTGATTACCTCTTATTATGTCAGCTATTTTGTTGAGAAGATAATTAAGAAACTCATGAGCATCCTGTTGCAAATAGTTATCAAATAATCCTAAAGTAGGAGTGGAGCGTAAGAATAGATCATACATACCATTCTCCCGCTTCAACTTTTGTATGAATTTTTTAGGGCGCATCTGACCCACTCTTCTTTGCTGAGATACGACTGAATAAAAGAGATCCGAAAGACATGTCAGTAGAGTTTCCTTTTTAGGATTTTTCGCTCGATCATTGTATTGTAAGACCTTGTCTCGAAATGGCTTACAGAAGAACAAGGCCTGTATGACTGAATTGCAGTAGCACGTATTTCCGAACTACGAAATTTATGTCAAGATGGATATGCTTACGTTCACCAGCCCAAAATATCGTTCTCCACTGAGAAGTTGATCACTGGCAATCTCTTTCTCTAACTGAGAGCTGCTGAGCCCCTGACAACATGAATATGAGGTCTAAGTAAACCTACCATTTTTAAGCAATTAATACGAAGGAAAGACTCCAGAAACCTCATAATGAAATATCATCATGATTTTAAAATAAAATAGTTGTAGCGCTAGAATCTCTCTTCTTCAAGTGCGCCGTATGTTGACCAATTTCCAATACTGATACGATGAGCTAACTTTCTATTCTCTGAGAAGATTTGGAACGATACTCTGACTTTTATTGTTAAAATCCTTGGTCACTAATCCGATGAACTGTTTTTAGATGAAATCGAATTCAGATTCAGATTTGTGTAGTAAGGACAGAAGGTCTACAGTCTATTTTATTTCTTTTCTGTGTGCTTTTATGAGTGTCCAGCTTTCTCTTGGATTGATCACTTGAAGGTGCTGACACCACTGCTTCGGTGCGAAAACCTGTATGCTGCGGGTACTTTTTTCGTTCTTGACTTTTCTACTCGCCTGCTATGTCCTTTGAAATGTCCCGATCTAGTGGGGAGATAAAGAGAAGATATATCATATCCAAAAGCATTTCTTTGTATTCTGTACATCAAAATCAGATAACCTCTTAATTTCCGATAGGACAGAGTAAAGAGATCTAGCTTTTCAAGCCGCTTTTTGTATGGTAAACCTCGCAGTTCTGGAATTGCACGGGCAGATGCCCTCTGTATTTTTTTCCAGGATATCTGAGTCACCCTTTTAAACAGAGGCTTGCAGCCCGAGCGCAGTTCTCAGGCTCAGTTCTCATTAAGGTTGTGTATACTGTAGTGAACATCGTAGCATTATAGCGGTAAATAAATCCCAAAAATAAATAGCTCCGTAAGTCATCGACATTGGATGCTGACCTCATCAGTTTTAATGGACTCACCTGGCTGAGGGCGCTCGGTCATGCATCCGCACTAGATCACGAGTGGGAACGCCGTGCTCAACAACCCCTGCAGTCTCTAGCCAGATTAGATCAGACGATCCACGATATATTGATAGCCTATCGAATATATGTTCGAGCTTTCTCGCTTCTGTCTTTTGATTTCACTGGGTGGGTACGATTCATATTAGAAGATGTTACTGGTTAAAGCGTTGTCAAACTCTGAATACCTGGGGCATCTTTATTGGTGAGCCCGACGTGACCTGGCACACCAAACTGTAAACTGTGAGTCTGTTCCTTTTTGAGATTTTATAAATCATTGCTTCATTTTAATTTTTCACACATTTTGATTGTTGTCCGTGTTTTTGGACATGTTTTTTCCCTCATTCATTCTCGTACTTGATATTTCATCATGATGGAACAGACACACAAGGTACTAAAGCTAAAGACCATGTCCCCACATTCGTTTCAACTAATGCCCTTCTGGCCAGACAATATCGAAGTCTGGTTCCGCCACGCAGAGACCGACTTCTACGAGCACGACGTGAACGACACACGTGCACAATTCCTCGCAGTAGTAAAGGCACTACCACGCGAATTCAACAAGTACGCAACATCTGGTATGTTTACCAGTGATGTTTCGGAACCCGACGAAACACTTAAACGGTCTATCCTTAAACGTGGAGACCTAACCAATCGACAAAGGTCAGACCAACTTCATAATAACATCGACCTGCTACACAGTTCTGCGACAGTCATGTTGCAAAGAATGAGAGAGGTTATCGGCCAAAGAACCTTCGATGATGGCTTGTTCAAATAACTTTTCTTATCCAAACTTCCTCAACAGATGCAAGCTGTGCTGGTCCCGTCTCAAAACAGCGCCTTAGAAGAGCCGGCTGCATCTGCCGACCGCATTTTAGAAATCACCAAATCTTCTAATACCGAGGTTTTTCAGCCAAAGAAAAGCCTCAAACGACCCAGAATGACATAAAAGAGTTATGTCACACACTTACACGTTATCTTAAGTTTCGTAACGATGGTAAACGGTCACACACCCCACGTAGAAGCACTTCACGTAGGCGATCTGTCTCTAGACCACGGAAGACTGATAACCCCGACTGGTGCTGGTATCATAACCAGTATGGAAAGTCTTCCAGGAATTGCAGGAAACCCTACAATTTTCTCAACTCAAAACCGAGCGACACGAAAAACAACTCGGGAAACTTCCAAGCCGGCACGCGTTAACGGCAACCGTAGCCGGCGAACATAGCCGTCTGTTATACGTCACAGACGTGATAACGAAAGTTCGCTACCTCGTCGATACTGGCTCAGAAGTTAGCGTTCTTCCAGCGAATTCTAACGACCGGCTTCACGAATCGGTTTTAAACTTACAGGCGGCAAACGGAAAACCTATCGCTACGTATGGCAAAAGATACGTTTACCTTAACGTGAGTTTACACAAACCCGTTCACTGGATCTTTGTTGTTGCAGATGTTTCTATGTCAATCATTGATATAAACCTTCTTCAACACCACAATCTAATCATAGATACTCGCAAACGGAGGCTAGTAGACGGAAACACTAACTTATCTGTTTGCGTAACTTCTTTCTCTGGTTGCAGATTATCTCCAGTAACAATTATGCACACGATAGACACTTTCTATGAACCACTACTCGATAAGTATCTTGGGATACACCAACGGCAACCGAAATTGTCGTGTGTAACCAGCAATGTTACACATCACATCACGACTACAGGACTACCTGTATTCCCGCCGACTGGCCCCCGAAAAGCTAAGGTTGACGAAAACGAATTCGACAACATGATAGACTTAGAAATCATACAACCGTCAAACAGTTCATGCGCATCTCCGCTGCATATGGTTCCTAAAAAGGACAGCAACGATTGGCGTCCAACTGGTGACTATTGGCGATTGAATGAGAAATTCATCCCTGATCGTCTCCCGTCGCCTCACACTCTTAATTTGACATCTACCTTGAAAGGTACAACTGTCTTTTCGAAAATCGACTTGGTTAAAGCGTATAACCAAATCCCTATGGCTACTGTCGATATTCCAAAAAAAAGCTTTCATAACTTCGGACTCTACGAATTTTTGAGAATGCCTTTTGGTCCAAAAAACGCTGCTCAAACTTTCCAAAGGTTCATAGACGACGTTTTTCGAGGTCTCAACTCCGTACATGCGTATGTTGATGACTGTCTAATAAAAAGTCCGGACAGAGAATCTCATCTCCAGCAACTGGATCTTGTTTTCTAACGACCACAAAAACATTGCATTACTGTAAAAATTCAGAAATACCAAATCGGAACTGACTCATTAGACTTCCTAGAACATACTATCGATGCCCGAAGCATCCGACCCCTTAGAACCAAAGTGGCGGCCATTCTGGATTATCCAGAACCGACCACCATCAAGCAATTACGCACATTTAACGGCCTTGTAAGTTTCTATAGACGATTCATACCTAAATGCGCCCTACTCATGAAACATCTTACCGACCAACTTCGTGGAAATGCGAAATCCATTAATTTGGACGACACCGCACGAAAAGCATTCTCCACAAATAAGAAACTCATAGCTAAAGCAACAATGTTTGCACATCAGGACACCCGAGCACCCATTAGTATCGCAGTACACGCATCCGACTCAGCAATTGGAGGAGTTTTGCAACAATGGGTTAGGCTCTCCTGGCAACCATTGGCATTTTTCTCTGGACGGTTGCTAGACAGTGGATAGAGGTACAGGGAACTCCTAGCTAAGTATTATGCTGTACGGCATTTTCAACACTATATCAAAGGCCGTGAATTCACCCTTTTTACTGACCATAAAACTCTTACTTTCCCTTCAAGCTCCTCTTCAGACAAGTACTCACCACGTGAGTCTCGACAACTGGACTACATTTCGCAGTTTACGTCAGACATTCAACACATCTCTGGAGCAAACAATTTAGTTGCAGATGCCTTATCTCACATAACTTCCTTGAACAGTTTCCAAGGAATCGACCTTCTGAAACTCGCCCTGCTTCAAAAAAGAACACATTGGTCTTCAGCACGAGTTATCCTCAACAGCGCTTAAGCTGTGCATCAAACAGATGGGAACAGGTAAGGAAACCTTACTTTGTGACACAATAGTGCCGAAACATTATCGACGCAACGTCTTCAATACGTTGCACAAACTTTCTCATCCAGGTGTTCGTGCAACCATCAAGCTTATAGCAGAACGGTTTTGCTGGCCTGGTATGAATAGATACGTGAGGAAGTGGGCACGCTCCTGTGTAAGCCACCAAAAACCTAAGGTCATTAGACACAACAAATGTCCCTTAGGCTCTTTCGAAACTCTGGACACTCGTTTCGACCATGTTCATTGGGATTTGGTAGGACCTTTGCCAGATTTAAATGGATACTCTTATCTCTTAACCTGCGTTGACCGCCAGAAGCAGACCTATCAAGGACATCACTGCTGAAACAGTGGCCCGCGCCTTCATCGAACGATGGGTAGCAAACTTCGGCTGCCCTTCAATTATCACTACAGACCGCGTACGTCAGTTCGAATCCGAACTTTTCCGTTGTCTGACCGCCCAATTATGAATCATTCACTTCCAGACGACCACCTACCATCCACAAGCAAACGGGTTGGTAGAACATTTTCACCGACAACTAAAAGCCCCACTATCAGCTGCAAACGTTTCTCAGTGAACTGACGCACTTCCACTCATCTTACTAGATATTCGCAATGACATCAAAGTGCATTAAAGTTGCCTACTATAAGGTTTTTACCCCTATTACACCAGGAATTAGTATGGCATAGGAGGAAGTCATCTACCACTCATTCTGGACTGCGATATACTACAACTAATTCAATATCTTGCCGTCATAATTCCAGCCTGCAACTCACCAGTTTACAAGTCCCTAGATCATGTGCCACCGTCTCAACTGCTCTATGGTTAAAGTACGCTTTGCGTACAGGATAGCTCTATTTATCAGCCCTACTGGATAAAATACCAGTCAACTGAATTTCATTATCGAACACGTTAACCATGTTTCTGAGACAGCTATCGCATTCGGTTTTTCTATATCCACCATCGTCTTGAGCTTCGCCACTTTATTTGGTAGGCTACGAACGTTTGTGTAGCAAATCTTTATTTCTGTTGAGAATTTCGCCTTATCACGCACAGTGGTCTGGGGGTCGT